AACTTTTTTCAATTTTCAGTGTTTTATTGTTTTTATAAGCCAACCTTCTTCAGTATTCAGTTCTTGAAGTATGGATGCATGTATCATTTTCTTTACCCATCATAGTCTTAGAACCCGTCTACCCATAGACAAGAAGAAATTACTAGAAGTCCACGTAAAAAGAATTCCCAGCCTTCACCGGGGCCTGAACCTTGGGACCTCCAGCACTTGATGCTGACGCTATGCCTCGAGACCACGCAGCACCCTGTGTCTAGAAAATATTTGTCTAGCACAACATGCAGGTTCCTTTAACTATTTCTATAGGTTCCTTTAACTCTTTCTATAAAATATTAGGTAGAATTATTTTGGAAAGATTAAAAGATGCTATTGATAAAATGCTAAGAGATAAACAGGCAGGTTTTCGGTCAAACAGATCCTGTACTGACCAGATAGCCACATTACGTATTATAATAGAGCAAAGCATTGAACTGAATTCACCACTTCACATTGGGTTTATAGACTATGAAAAAGCATTTGACAGCATTGATAGGGAATCTCTCTGGAAATTGATGGGGCACTATGGAATCCCACAGAAAATTATCAACTTAGTAAAGGCAACATATAAAGACATGAAATGTCGAGTTCTTCATGAGGGAAAGCTAACAAATGCATTTGAAATAAAAACAGGTGTGCGACAGGGATGTCTTTTGTCGCCTCTCTTGTTTTTACTGGCTATAGACTGGACTATGAAAACAGTAACTGCTAACACCAAGAATGGAGTTCAGTGGACCCCTACAAAACAGCTTGATGATCTGGACTTCGCTGATGATATTGCTCTTCTGTCCCATTCACGGATCAGATGCAAGATAAATTAAATATACTTGATGCGAGATCACAGCAGCTTGGTCTGAAAATCCACAAAGGAAAGACAAAGATAATGAGAATAAATCAGGCAAATGGTAATGTGGTTTCTCTTAATGGCACCCCACTCCAAGACGTGGAGTCGTATACCTATTTAGGCAGTAATGTAGATAAAGATGGAGGAACTGATAGAGATATTAAAATAAGAATACAAAAGGCAAGAGGGGCTTTCATTACACTAGGGAATTTGTGGAGGTCAAAAGAGATACTAAACTAAAATTTTTTAATTCTAATATCAAATCAGTACTATTGTATGGGGCGGAAACATGGAGAACAACCATGGTAATTACTAATAAATTACAGACATTCATTAACTGGTGCCTGCGCGGAATAGAGGGAATTAAATGGTATGATAGAATAACTAATGTAGAACTTTGGCAGAGAACTAAACAGGCTCCAGTGGACCAAGAGGTGAGGAAAAGACGCTGGCGTTGGATAGGACACACACTGAGAAAACAGGAGAACAGCATAACTAGAATATCTTTGCATTGGAACCCACAGGGGCATATGAATAAAGGAAGGCCAAAAAACACACGGAGAAGAGCTGGAGAATGAAGTGAGAAAGATGGGGAGGACATGGGGAGAGCTCCATGCAATGGCGAAGGATAGAACGACTTGGCGTGAGTTGGTTGTGGGCCTATGCTCCATTGTGGGATAGAAAGGCAGAAGAAGAAGACAACATGCGGTGCGACAAAATAGTAAATAATTGTATACTTTTATAATGAGCAGACTATCAGCTTACTTCTTTCCGAGACCTCTGTGAGCGCCCATCAATACCCAAGGCTGAAGCTAAAATTTCGGTGAATCCGTCCTATTTACTAAAGGCCAATGCCGCCGGGATCTGACTTTCAGAGGGCATGAAACCCGGCACAGTCGTCACTCAACGGCGATATCCTCGCATCTCACGAGATCTTAGATATAAACAACAACGGTGGCGTCCTTGACAACAAGCTGGATCTTGTGAGATGTTTTTGTTGTTTGTTTGTTATAAGTTGTGCCATTCCTGAATAGCGTGTACTGTTCATAACTGATTGCTGAATATTGTAATTTACTTTGTATCTAGTCAGTATAATGAGAAATGTAAGAGATGATATAAACAAGGAACAATATGATGCCCTAAACATCGGTGGTCATGAAATACCAGAAATTCGTATGCTGATGATACAGTATTACTATCAACATCACAAAATGGTTTAGAAAACTTATTAACCTCACTCCAAAGAAATAGTGAAAATCATAACTTATTTCTTAACACAGCAAAAACAAAGATAATGCATACAAACAAAACTGCCATGGAGAAGGAAATATATGTTAATGAGGAAAGATTGGAAGTGGTGGAAAATTTCGAATATCTTGGGTCACTGGTTACCAACAATGGTGACACAATGAAAGAAATTAAACGGCGACTATCAATTGCTCTTCAAAGACTAAAACAACTGAATAAATTATGGAATTGTACAGATAGAATTACAAAGGTCAGATTTTTAAGAGCATGCATCTTTCCCATTGCAACATACGCCTGTGAGACCTGGACACTTAATAAACAAGCGGAGCAGCGCATAAATGCATTTGAATATAAATGTTACAGACAGGTTCTAAGAATATCTTGGGTAAAGAAAAGAAGAAATGCATCCATACTTCAAGAGCTGAATATTGAAGAGGGTTGGCTAGTAAAGACAATAAAACAAAGAAAATTGAAATATTTTGGTCACTTGAAACGTCATGGAGGTCTAGAGAGAACAATAATGGAGGGGTATATGCCTGGGAAGAGAGGAAGAGGAAGGCCAAGGAGAAGATGGGTGCAGGATGTGGCAGATGATCTCCAGATGGGTGTATCAGACGCAGGACATCTTGCTCATGATAGGAAGGTTTTCCGGAGGGTTGTTATGGCAGCGAGGTTCCGCGAGGGACATGCTACTGAATGAATGAATGAATGAATGAATCTAGTCAGTACTGAATATAAACAGCAATATAATTGTATTCACAAATAGATTGAGTTTTGGAATCATAGACCCTTTACTTTAGAGTACTAGCCGCTCCCAGCTCGTGAGTGAGTCATGTGTTAACTGCAACTAAACAAAAAAGGAAACATAAAATCTTAACACACGTACGGGGTTACATGGTGATGTACCTTTCATCGTTGCTAAATGATACTATAATACGAAAGACCGGTCTAATGAATGAATGAAAATGATTATGAAATGCCAATGTCAACCAGTGTAACAGCAAAAAACTGCCCAAAAATTGATTGACACCCACATTGATTAGATGACATCGGTTGGCTGGATCCGCTATCACTACCGACGGTCAGCCTATGGATCATGCTCATATTATTAATGCCCTCAGAGAAATGGGAAGGATAGAGGACTTTGGTGGCAGTGAATCCACATCACTCGCCAGAATGGCAGACTTGGGAATTAAGATCGAGGCTATCCTCCGAATAACGGGCACATATTATGGCGGCCAAAAACAGGGCCTCAGTCACGTGTCAATTGCGCACTTACAGCGACCTAATTTGCGGTTTTCCGGCGACTACCGCCACCGCCGAGAGTATCACCCACGCCGCTCACGCAACGTAGATTGGGGCTACACTAGATGGCTGGGACTCACGAGCAAAGCTGCAGGAGATGCGGAAGCTGCTGCTCGTGAGTCCCAGTCATCTAGATTAGCCCCAATCCACGCCGCGTGAGCCGCATGTGAGATACTCGTGGCGGTAGTCGCCGAAAACCGCTAGTCAGGTCGCCAGAAGTGCGCAAATGACACGTGACTGAGGCTCTGTTAGGGTTTTTTGCGGCCGCCATAATTTGTGCCCGTTATTCGGAGGATAGCCAAGATTGACATAGCAAAAAACGAGATGCACACTGAAGACATGTTAATCAACATAGAATTGGTATTATTGTCCATCGAACGTTGGGGTTCGTATTGAGGGGAGGATCTGAGCACCTATGGACATGTCCAGAGTGCAATGATGATAATCCAACTAACTAACTAATTGATTAGATGACAACTCTCTCTATCCCCATGGAGTCTCTTTCCTGGCTTTTGATGAGGGAGAGGGAACTTATATGGGCTTGTCCTGACACCGTCATAATTTGAATCTTTACCTAGATGAATGACATTGATTACTATATTTCACTAATTGAAATACGTGTTTTGTCTCACATTCCGAGCAGTTCAAATGTCATATAGTTTTTTGATACTTTTTACAACCATGAGCAAACAGCGATGTATTTGTTACTATTTCACTTATTTTGTCGGTCTCAACTGGTGCATATTGAATAATGGACTCTTCCCCTAGAATCTCAATCATAGTGTTAAAACACTTTGTTTTATTCATGTTTGGTCAGAAAATGTGAAACCTGTTTATTGACCTGTAGGCTGTTCCACCTTGTGTATTTTTGTGTGTATCTCGGATGACATTTGCTCATATCTTGCTTCTTTTTCAGGAACTATTCCTTCCACTATAGTTCTCCCTAAAACACCCTAACATTTAATGTGATCAGGATCTTGCTGTTTTCAAGATGGGCCACATATAATGCATGGTAATTTGATGGTAATTTCATTTTAAAATAATGGCAATTTTCTCTCTTTTGATTCCTGCTATTCTAGATGCTTTTCTTTAACAATGGATATTACAAGATACACGTTTCTACTTGAGGCTTACTGGAATGGGTCACAACTGACATCTGTATGTTTGATTTATTTGCTGCTGTTCTGTGAAAAGTTTGTTACTCTTGGTTAACCTCTGCATTTCTGCTGCTAGTCTTCTCACGGCTTCTGTCAAATCATGCATGTTGCTATTTATAGCTTGCATGTAATGATCATCGCTCTCTGTCCACAACTGGTAGCACCCAACTATGTCAGTTGGTTAATCCCGAAGAAGTGTATTTAGGGTTCAGAGTCTCTGGTATTGTTTAACATTGCAGTGTCTCGTTCCTGTTATGGATTTGTAAGATGAAGGGTTCTTTTTTTTTATAGCCCACCAAACAAACAAACAAAATCTAATTTTGAAAGGTTAAACGTTTAGTAAATAGATCTGTCAAAAGCTGACATAAACAGTTTTAGTTTGTTATTTCAGAACTGTTGAATAATTCACTAGAATGGCTTTTTTTGGACTTACGTACTTGGGATATCAGAACTCACTCAAGGAGGTGTCTCTGGCCTCACAACAAGATCCCATCAGGTCCAAGACCCAGCTGGGATTTTTAGCACTTCCTCCTTTGAAGAACCAGAATCCGCCACCTCGATCAATTATTCCCATAGATCAAACCTCACAGTACGGCAAGGGCCCGGATGATTCATACACGGAATATATGCGCCTGAGATCAAAACATACACGGAATCCAACTGGTAAATGAGTTATGTTTACTGTATATTGATAATTTCCTGAAATATTGGCCAAGTTATTATTTATTGAAAAGATTGTCCTATCCCAGGTTGTGTCAAATGAGTTTGCAGTGTTAGGCCTCTGCCTAGACTAGACCAGTGTTCTTGAACCAGTGGGCTTCGGCCCATTTGTGGGCTACGGAAAAGTCCTGGTTTCTTTTCAAGAACTGCAGTCTGTAGGATGTGAATCCAAGGGTTTTGCATTGGCTGAAAATTGTCACTTGATGACATTGCATTTAATTATGAAACTGCTGTTTACATTTGATTTTGTTACTGGCTTGGAGGTCAGCTGTGGGCCTTAAAACAAATTTCCGTCTTGGTAGGCCATAAAACAAATTCCCCTGTCTTGTTGAGCCATAAAATAAATTCCCCTGTCTTGTTGGGCCATAAAACAAATTCCCCTGTCTTGTTGGGCCTTAAAACAAATTTCCCTGTCTTGGTAGGCCATAAAACAAATTCCCGATTCAGAAAATGTTGACCCAAGAAGCCATGTGAACTGGTAATAATTGCCACTTTGACGGACTCAAACGCATGAACATGTTGCCAGCAGGCCAGCTTGCTTCTATAATGTCACTTTAAACATTAATCTATAATTTATTCGTATTCTGTTGTTTTTGTATTACATATTTAATTTTACGTTGATTTTACATATGGAAACACTAGTTGATTATCTTGTAACACATGTATAAAATGTGAGCTAGTATTTATAGTGTGTGTATATAACAGATCCTGTCGATTTGTCTCTGAAAGTCATAAGTCACAATAACAGGCTCCATAATTGTGTCACTCTCTGAAATGGATTATAACTGGTCTCAGACAACTGGCCTCATGATAATTGGCTGTTTGAATAAGAGAAGTAGCACAGCCATATCTATATGTTCTTTCTGGTAAGTGCATCATTCAAAACCAAGCTTTTGCAAATATAATTTTAAAAAAAATTCCGATAATTGTCCAGTATGAATGATGGAACAAATTGATTGAAGATTTCACACATGTGACAACAGAATCACACATGGAGACTGGATTGTTCTATGAAGCTACTTAGAAGGCTCCAACTGGCTGAACAAATCCACTGTTGCTGGCTAAACAGGCACAATGCAGATCTTATCCAAAGGGTTTTGTTTCTTTAATGCACACACAGAAAGAAACAAATAGTATAATTGTGCTACATTTGTGAATGCAGTGCCGACTTTAGTGATTGATCACTGATGTCAGCAGTGTTCTGCAGTTCTGGTATGGGACGGTTATCGCTGGCACATCTAACAGCCACCTTAAGCGTTTTTACTTTGCATCTGCAGGCTTGAAGACTTTGCTAGTTTTCACATAGGAAACTGACTGTGAAGGACATTTTGTGTGCCTTTCACTAGCACAGGAAAGAAGAATGCATGTGATGATTTTTGCAGTGATATTGGATCTTCGATTAACGACTAACTAACTAACAAGTTTTACATTCAGATTTACATCAAATTTACAAGCGTCCTGCCACAACCTCTCACAACATTGGCTGGTGGACCAAAGACGAGCCACTGCAGGTGAACCATCCCTGGGCGTACGTGCCTCGGAGAGCCAAGTTCCGCAGTGAAATGAGCAGGTGGGTTCTTGTCCTCTCATTTTTAGGAGAGTGAAAATATGCGGATATTTTAATATATATACTTTTATATGTGTGTGTGTGAGAGAGAGAGAGAGAGAGAGAGAGAGAGAGAGAGAGAGAGAGAGAGAGAGAGAGAGAGAGAGAGAGAGAGAGAGAGATGAACAATCAGGAAAAGATGGGGGGGGGGGGGAACTAGCAAACACAAAACAAAGAACAAGATATTATATGTTGAGCGAGAGAGTCAGAGAGGATGAATGAATCAAGAAATGAATCACTACACTTGGGACATTCCTAAACATGTTCCATCTCCCCTTCTTCAGTAGCCAACAGAGTCAACATGCTAATACCAGTTAAAACCTGAGTAAAAGTCCACAACTATTTCTTCTTCCGAGTTTAATATCTTCTAGAACCGCTAACCCCCCCCCCCCCCCCCCCCCCCCTAACTCACCTCCTTTGTCTGTTGAATGAGTCTTTCAGTGTGGATTCTCTGTCTGTTGTATTGCACTGTCCATCTCATCCCATAGAGAGCCTTCACCACGTCTACTTTATCATAAAGAAGCTCATCACCCAGAGGCGTGGAAGCAACTAATCTATCAGCTTCCTCGTTACATTGCACAGCTGAATATCCTGGACAAAAATATCCATGATATTCCCCTGATCTGGATCTTATCAAGGGATAGCCTGTTTGAATATTATAAAGCATGTTCTGTGAGTCCATGACTAATACATGTCAGGCTGTGCTCTGCTGAAGGCATCAGAAAGCTGTCATTAATGCCTCCACCTCCATTCTCATACTGGATGTAGTAACACAGTACTCAAGAATCTCTGTTTTCAAACACAGAGAGACAGAGAGAGTAAAGGACCAAGGGAGAGAGTAAGGGACCCAACGTCATACCTTGAAGCATACTTTGTTTGGATCTACCCTCTTATTTTTGCTGTTTGTTTGGACCTTGATGGGTGATATAGTCATTATCATACTGGCTGCCTTAAAAAAAAAATATTTTAGACTGGGTTGACCTGATAGCCAGGACAGATCAAATATTCTACCTACACCAGGCAAGCTAGTACACCAGGCAAGCTAGTACATCAGGCAAGCTAGTACATCAGGCAAGCTAGTACATCAGGCAGGCTAGTACATCAGGCAAGCTAGTACATTAGGCAGGCTAGTACATCAGGCAAGCTAGTACATCAGGCAGGCTAGTACATCAGGCAAGCTAGTACATCAGGCAGGCTAGTACATCAGGCAAGCTAGTACACCAGGCAAGCTAGTACATCAGGCAAGCTAGTACATCAGGCAGGCTAGTACATCAGGCAAGCTAGTACATCAGGCAGGCTAGTACATCAGGCAAGCTAGTACACCAGGCAAGCTAATACACCAGGCAAGCTAGTACACCAGGCAAGCTAGTACACCAGGCAAGCTAGTACACCAGGCAAGCTAGTACACCAGGCAAGCTAATACACCAGGCAAGCTAGTACATCAGGCAAGCTAGTACACCAGGCAAGCTAGTACACCAGGCAAGCTAGTACACCGGGCAAGCTAGTACACCAGGCAAGCAAGTACACCGGGCAAGCTAGTACATCAGGCAAGCAAGTACACCAGGCAAGCTAGTACACCAGGCAAGCAAGTACATCAGGCAAGCTAGTACATCAGGCAAGCTAGTACATCAGGCAAGCTAATACACCAGGCAAGCTAATACACCATGCAAGCTAGTACATCAGGCAAGCTAGTACATCAGGCAAGCTAGTACATCAGGCAAGCTAGTACATCAGGCAACCTAGTACACCAGGCAAGCTAGTACACCAGGCAACCTAGTACACCAGACAAGCAAGTACACCAGGCAAGCTAGTACATCAGGCAAGCTAGTACACCAGGCAACCTAGTACACCAGGCAACCTAGTACACCAGGCAACCTAGTACACCAGGCAAGCTAGTACATCAGGCAAGCTAGTACACCAGGCAAGCTAGTACACCAGGCAACCTAGTACACCAGACAAGCTAGTACACCAGGCAAGCAAGTACACCAGGCAAGCTAGTACATCAGGCAAGCTAGTACACCAGACAACCTAGTACACCAGACAAGCTAGTACACCAGACAAGCTAGTACACCAGGCAAGCAAGTACACCAGGCAAGCTAGTACATCAGGCAAGCTAGTACACAAGACAAGCTAGTACACCAGACAAGCTAGTACACCAGGCAAGCAAGTACACCAGGCAAGCTAGTACATCAGGCAAGCTAGTACACCAGACAAGCTAGTACACCTGACAAGCTAGTACATCAGGCAAGCTAGTACACCAGACAAGCTAGTACACCAGGCAAGCTAGTACATCAGGCAAGCTAGTACACAAGACAAGCTAGTACACCAGACAAGCTAGTACACCAGGCAAGCAAGTACACCAGGCAAGCTAGTACATCAGGCAAGCTAGTACACCAGACAAGCTAGTACACCAGGCAAGCAAGTACACCAGGCAAGCTAGTACATCAGGCAAGCTAGTACACAAGACAAGCTAGTACACCAGACAAGCTAGTACACCAGGCAAGCAAGTACACCAGACAAGCTAGTACACCAGGCAAGCTAGTACACCAGACAAGCTAGTACACCAGACAAGCTAGTACACCAGGCAAGCTAGTACACCAGACAAGCTAGTACACCAGGCAAGCTAGTACACCAGGCAAGCTAGTACACCAGGCAAGCTAGTACACCAGACAAGCTAGTACACCAGCTAGTACAAGACAAGCTAGTACACCAGGCAAGCTAGTACACCAGGCAAGCTAGTACATCAGGCAAGCTAGTACACCAGACAAGCTAGTACACCAGTACAAGCTAGTACACCAGGCAAGCTAGTACATCAGGCAAGCTAGTACACACAAGACAAGCTAGTACACCAGACAAGCTAGTACACCAGGCAAGCTAGTACACCAGGCAAGCTAGTACATCAGGCAAGCTAGTACACCAGACAAGCTAGTACTAGTACCACACCAGGCAAGCTAGTACACCAGCGCAAGCTAGTACACCAGACAAGCTAGTACACCAGGCAAGCTAGTACACCAGACAAGCTAGTACACCCCCCCCCCCCCCCACCCCCCCCCCCCCCCCCCCCCCCCCCCCCCCCCACCCCCGCCCCCCCACCCCCCCCCCAACACCAAGTATACCAGGCAACCTAGTATACCATCTAACCTAGTATACCAGGCAAATGTGTTATAGTTGTTTCTTAGAAATGTAGACTGGGAGATAAATCTTTAGCATCTGTGACAAATGGAAAAACAATGCATTATTTACCAACTTTCCTAACTAACCAGTCTAAAAAATTTTGAAGAACGTATTTAAGAAATGTTTCCATTTTATTTTATCTCCTCAGATTTGTGGATGAAATGAAGCTCACAAATCGCAGTTTCACTCTATTTTAACCTTCAGTATGGACACTTTTATCATTGTCTGAAAGAACAGTGTTTCATTTATGGTTACGTCTGTGTCACTATATCTGAACATACTTGCCAGTTGGGACCTATTTACTTGTGTACATAGTAATGTTTATATCAGACAGCATTAATCAAGCCCAATTCTCAGTATATTAAACAAATGATGCACACAGATTTACAGCAGATGTTCCAGTGAAAGTAGCTTAGAAAAAGGTCATTTAATGATTACAATTTTATCCATTTTCAAAATTCTGAGTAAAGGACCCTTTTCCACGCCTTTCAGGCATGTTGGGAATACAGGGCTAGATCTATTTTTATAGAGCAAACGGCACTTGGTGGGTGATGTGGTCAGCATCACGCCGGCCGCCTTTACTTCCCAGGACTGTACTTGGTAACCATTCGAGTCTTGGAGGAACATTCTGAGTAGCGACCAACATTTGTTTCTGCTGATGATGTGTTGCACGTTCTCTTTGTTACTCTTCTTCCCAGAAGGGAAATAAATCAGGGAATTGTATTATTTTATTGAAAAAAGTTTGTCCGAGATGAGAAATGAAAGTTTTCTCGTTACCTAACTGTCCAGGATTCATTGTTGTTTACAAAAACGAGTTCAGTGTAGCATGCAATGATTTTTTTCTCTAGCTTCCAAAGACAGAGATTTATTGTATAAAATGTTCTTTATTTTATAACCTGCAATTTTTTAATTACCCAAGTTGGTTCTATATCTCTGTGAGACTTTTGAGTCGTTTAATCCAGTTTTGTTCTTTTTAGGACAACATTTTTTGTTATTTGAAGCCCCATCCTGGCTTTTTCCAGGGGCCGCAATATAGGCAGGCCATAAATATGGCGAATTGTCTGAACGCGGTTTCTGTGACCTCTCCATGGCGATCCACATGGTGGCACTTTTTGTCATCGGGTGTTTATCGCTTGTGTGATGTCCTAGTGGGGTAAAAATCTACTACTACCTCAACTGCTGAGTCGAGCAGCAAAATTGTCACTAACAATCCTGGTGTAGTCTCTGTGGACATTTTCACCTGTTTGTCCTCTCATAGAGCCAATATTGTCTGAGGACATTTTCCCCTGTTTGTCCTCTCATAGAGCCAATATTGTCTGAGGACATTTTCACCTGTTTGTCCTCTCATAGAACCAATATTGTCTGAGGACATTTTCACCTGTTTGTCCTCTCATAGAGCCAATATTGTCTGCGGGCATTTTCACCTGTTTGTCCTCTCATGGAACCAATATTGTCTGTGGACATTTTCACTTGTTTGCCCTCTCAAAGAACCAAAATTGTCTGAGACATTTTCACCTGTTTGTCCTCTCATAGAACCAAAATTGTCTGAGGACATTTTCACCTGTTTGTCCTCTCATGGACCTAATATTGTCTGATGACATTTTCACCTATTTGTCTTCTCGTGGAACCAATATTGTCTGAGGACATTTTCACCTGTTTGTCCTCTCATGGAACCAAAATTGTCTGAGGACATATTCACCTGTTTGTCCTCTCATGGAACCAATACTGTCTGAGGACATATTCACTTGATTTTACTTTTATATAACAAATATTTTATGCGCACAAATTCACCTGTTTGTCCTCTTATGGAACCAATATTGTCTAAGTAAATTTTCACCTGTTTGTCCTCTCGTGGAACCAGTAGTCACAGATGACATGTTTATCTCTGTATCCTGTCGTCTGCCACCAGGCAACCTAGTACACCCGCGTGCTAGTGCATTAAATATTGGGATGTTATGGTTCCTTGGGATGTGCACATTTTCTGTTCATAAATTTAGAATGTTCTTATTGATAAACATAAAAGTAAAGTAAAAGTAAAGATCCCTTTTAACGCCTTTAGGCGCATCGGGCAAATGGAAAGAGCAACCATATTTTTTACAGACTATTCTGCACTAGGTGGGTAACGTGGTCAGCATTACACCGGCCATCTTTACTTCCCCGGGAGATACATCCTGGTACCCATTTTAGGCTGGGTCGACCTGCGACGCCCCATACCACGATAAAAATCCACGCAGCCAGCAGTGGGTTTCGATCGCGGTACGTTGGAATTACGAGTGGGACTCGCAACGCCTTAGCCACGGACGTCACATTGATAAACATGTTTGGGAATATTCTGCCACTGTACATTTGATGGGATGTAAATAAATATGTGCGCGTTGATTTCCTGGTTGCAATAAGAGCCACAATGTGATTCACACATTATCATCACCCCGAAGGTCATAACTGTCAGCTGAAATTGTCCTCACCATATCCTCAGTAGCTGTCTGTCTGTCGATATTTGTTTGCAAGCACAGGCACCACTTTTATTCCACGTGGATGGACTAAGGTCATCCCCACAACCTACCCCGGTTACGCCCTATAGGCCAACCCCTCCCTCCCTCCTTAGACACCTAGTGTACGCTGTTGGCGTCCAGCCCGTCCCCTTTTTTGCCCTTACCTGCGCGTTGGAGGTATATAGGCTGACCGTCGTTTCATTTGAACGAAGTTTTTTCGCCAGGGACACTAGATGAGTATCGTTTATTTCATACATTAGAGTCCTATGTAGTCACTTCATAGTTAGAGCCTATTTGTGTATGTGTACTGTGTTGTCCTTTATGTGCTGATGAAGGCTAATCGCCGCAACGTCCTTTGTTTGTTTATTGTGATCGATTTTGTAAAGCTAACATAAATTAATTGTTATTTCTTACCAACTTTTTCTCTTCCCTATAATTTTCTACTCCTTATAAAAAGCTTGTTTATCCAGTGTGCCATCTCTGAAGTCATTAATTTTTTTTAAAGTTGGTTTGACCTTGTGGTGCTGCCATCTTGCCAGGTTTTCTGCATTTGGTGTTCTTCCAAAGTTGCAATACTCATCTCTCAGTGAACGTGTTACATGTTGCAGTTTTCTCACTTGCTGTGACCTGCTTGTTTCAGTTTTTGCTCCCTATTTGATTGCACCTTCCATGCTTATGATTAAGTAAACTTTTTATCAAATTTTTTTAATTGTAGCGAACATTTAATCAGTTCTTTTAAGATTGTAATACTTTTTAAATAGGATTTTTGTTTGTTTGACTGAATGCAGTCATCAAGTGTATATGCATGAGTGTGCAATTTCTAGTATATGTGCAAACAGTTTCAACAAGCAAAGAAATGAAAAATAAACAAACTTTTTCTACGATTTGTTATATTGACTGTTTGGTGTCCGACCTATGGGACCGATAATGGCCTGTGCCTTTAGTGAACAGGTCAATCTACTATAAAGGAGCTGAGATAGAAATGATGATGAAGCTATAAGCAGACTCAAGGCAGTGACTTGAACACACACACACACACACACACACACACACACACACACACGCACGCACGCACGCACGCACGCACGCACGCACACACGCACACACACACACACACACACACACACACACAACAATAAGATCCTCAGAAAAGGGAGCCTCATGCCAATTCCTGGCATATGAGTGTCAAGTAGCAAGGCCTGATGTATTTGATGCCAGGTCATAGCGAGGTTCAGTATTTTGTTGCTGGTGTCTGTGTGTAGACGTGCTCTATGAATGTTGTGTGGGCTTTTGTTGCTGGTGTCTGTGTGTAGACGTGCTCTTTGAATGTTGTGTGGGCTTTTGTTGCTGGTGTCTGTGTGTAGACATGCTCTTTGTATGTTGTGTGGGCTTTTGTTGCTGGTGTCTGTGTGTAGACATGCTCTATGTATGTTGTGTGGGCTTTTGTTGCTGGTGTCTGTGTGTAGACATGCTCTATGTATGTTGTGTGGGCTTCTCTTGGTGATGTCTATGTGTAGACGTGCTCTATGAATGTTGTGTGGGCTTTTGTTGCTGGTGTCTGTGTGTAGACGTGCTCTATGAATGTTGTGTGGGCTTTTGTTGCTGGTGTCTGTGTGTAGACGTGCTCTTTGAATGTTGTGTGGGCTTTTGTTGCTGGTGTCTGTGTGTAGACATGCTCTATGTATTTTGTGTAGGCTTCTGTTGCTGGTGTCTGTTTGTAGACATGCTCTATGTTGTGTGGGAGTTTGTTGCTGGTGTCTGTGTGTAGACATGCTCTCTGTATGTTTGTGTGGGCTTTTTGTTGAATGGTTTCTGTGTGTAGACATGCTCTATGTATGTTGTGTGGGCTTTTGTTGCTGGTGTCTGTGTGTAGAAATTTCTCTATGTATGTTGTGTTGGCTTTTGTTGCTGGTGTCTGTTGTGTAGACTTTTTTTGCTCTATGTTTATGTTGGTGTTGGGATTTTTTTGCTGGTGTCTGTGTGTATAACGTGCTCTATGTAATGGTGTGTGGTGCTTTTTGTTGGCTTTTTGTTTGTGTTCTGTGTGTAGATATGCTCTATGTATGTTGTGTGGGCTTTTGTTGCTGGTGTCTATGTGTAGACATGCTCTTTATGTATGTTGTGTGGGCTTCTCTTGGTGTGTTGCTGTGTGTAGGACGTGCTCTTGAATGTTGTGTGGGCTTTTATTGCTGGTGTCTGTGTTGTAGACATGCTCTATGTATGTTGTGTGGGCTTTTGTTGCTGTTGTCTGTGTGTAGACATGCTCTATGTATATTGTGTGGGCTTCTCTTGGTGATGTCTGTGTGTAGACGTGCTCTATGTCTGTTTGTGTGGGCTTCTGTTGCTTGCCGTCTGTGTGCAGACGTGCTCTGTGTCTGTTGTGTGGGCTTCTGTTGCTGGTGTCTGTGTGTAGATTTTGCTCTATGTATGTTGTGTGGGCTTTTGTTGCTGGTGTCTGTGTGTAGACATGCTCTATGTATGTTGTGTGGGCTTTTGTTGCTGGTGTCTGTGTGTAGACATTCTCTCTGTATGTTGGTGTGGGCTTTTGTTGCTGGTGTCTGTGCGTATACATGCTCTATGTATGTTTGTGTGGCTTTTTTTGTTGCTGGTGTATGTGTGTAGACATGCTCTATGTATGTTGTGTGGGCTTTTTGTTGCTGAGGTGTCATGTTTTGTAGACGTGATCTATGTATTTGTGTGGGCTT